AAAAAAAAAAAAAAAAGAAAAAAAAAAAAAAAAAAAAAAGAAGTTTATTCAATGTAAACTTCTAAATTCTACTTGGTAAGAAAAATCACTGACTTCATTTAATAATGTGTTGCCAGTTACTAATTACGCCAAAGCACCACTTTTTCTATTTTTACCACACAAAAAGGCTTCTTTTCAAAGCTTATTGATATCATCACAAAATTAAGGTTAAAGTTTCAGAAAAAAAGTTTCCAAGAAGAGAGAGGTTAAGATCAAATGCTTGTTTTGTTGATACAAAATACATGTTTGGCTACTATACAACTTCCCCCAAAATCCATAAAAAGTAAATCTTATTTTGTGTCTTCTTGTTTTTGCTATTTTGAAGATATCCAAGCAGTACAATAAGGTTTTCAATCACCTTAAAATATTGTGAGCCTGAGGAGCTGCAAGCATGAATTATAACTGCTATGAAAAGTTGCTGCATGTCACAAGCAAGCAATTTGTATTCACTCAGAGGAATGCTAAAGATAACAAAAAAACAAACAAAAAGAACAAAACAGAACATTTGTAAGAAAAAGAACAAATGATTTAAGACAAAAAGAACTGCTTTAAATGGCTTAAGTTCCTATTCCACCAGCCGGCATTCATTCATGCAATTACTCAGTATGTATTCATGCTTACTGTATGGCAGGTAATATGTACTGCATGCTAGGAATAGAAATAAGACACTCGTTGACTCTTGTCAAAAATACAGTTTTTCAGAGGACCAGAAAAGTAAAGAGATCACTATAAACAATAAATGGTGGTAAGTGTAACAACAAACATTAACACAAGATACTGTGGAAACACATAAGCATGTTCCCAGCCCACACTAAAGGTGAAGATTGTATAGGTATGAACAGGAACATTCTGGGAAGGCTTCTCTGAGAGGGTGAATTTGAAAAAATTAATTAACCTCTCTGAACCTCATTTGTATGAATTATAGTTACCTTAGAGATTAAAAGAGTTAACATATGTGTACATATATTAATCCCTTATAAATACCCAATAATTATGAATTAGTTACTTCTGTCCCTTAATTTTAATCTTGATATCCTACCTCAGTGTGTGATATTAGGCCTAAACACTTCTCTCCATTTATTTTTTCCAAATCAAGCAAGTGTTAGGAATTGTAAGTGTCTTGGGCCAATTAATAGAGTAGCATACAAGGAGATTCGGTAAGCACAATTTATTTAAAAACAAATGAACAAAAAGTACTTTCAGACCAAGCCTGCAGGTATCCCTCTTAAATTCTTCCATTTCCATGCACTGTATCATAATCAAGACCAAGTGTTTTGAGGAAATACAACACTTTGTATTTCTTTGCATTTCCCATATCCCTAGCACACAGACCCGAAATCTAACAGATGACCAATAAAAGTTGAACTGAGTACAAGGAGTCTCTCTTTGGTCTAGAGAATCACTAAGGATATGCTCTGTTCTCTTTGCAAAAATATAGATAACATGTAATACTTTAATGCGCAACAAGATAGTGCTTCTGGAGATTTAAACTTTAACACTATGCTAGTTAAAATATTATACTGTACATCATAAATGCAGACACCAAAGGTACAAAATCTAAATAAAAGTCTAATCCTCTAACATATTTTTTAGAGCTTATTAAATGTTTGGTGGGCAGCCATTTTCCAATGTACTTTTGGCTATACGAACCTGATTTATGGTGGTAGAGATATCATATGCTAATAGACAACATAGTGAGTTCAAAACACAGGGTTTTTTTTTTTTTTGTCTTTTTCGTGACTGGTAAGGGGATCGCAACCCTTGGTGTGGTGTCGCCCACACCGCGCTCAGCCAGTGAGTGCACCGGCCATTCCTATATAGGATCCGAACCCGTGGTGGGAGCTTCGCTGGGCTCCCAGCGCCGCACTCTCCTGAGTGCGCCACGGGCTCGGCCCCAAAACACAGGTTTTAAAGTGAAACAGATACAGCCTCACATTCTCTGCTATTTACTAGCTGTGTGATCTTCAATGAGTTACTATATCTCTCTAATCCTCAATTTCCTATTCCTGATGAGGATAATTATTTTTATAAGCCTATGGTGGAAGCTTGGTAAATATATTTAGGGGCGGCTAAATTTATTCTCCTTGTCTTCAAGTTCTAAATAACTAAAAGTAGGCCATATAAACACCCTCTTCTTAACCAAACTTTGTTGAAAATGATAAAAAAAAAAATTCTCTCTCCAAATTAATTTAATCTAATAGGATGCTTTAAAGTAGCCTGTTACTAACATTTTCTCTTTCTAAAGTATTAATCAGATGTAATTTAAAATAATAATTTAAAACTTACTTCTTTTCTAACCCATTTGGGGCTGCTACTGTACTACATAACACATGACCATTATCCAACTACATATCTGCTACTTTAGAACAAGAATTTAAAATGCAGAGAAAAAGTAAAAGAGCATTATGCAGGAGTACGTTGTCATACAGAGAAGTCCCTATTAGTTCCAGAATAGGAATGATAGACCACTTCTAAAAAGTCCCATGCTTTTCACATCTTGCAGATCAAATCTATAGAAAACAATACACAATTAAGAGCACATTAGAAGGAATTAGTCACCAAATAAGCAAAAATGATTGCAACTATGGGCCATTTTGTTAACCTGATTTTGAAGCTATAACAGAACAAATTTGGGAAGTAAGGATTCTTAAGTTTTTTTTTAGATTATAGACCCCCTCCAATAATAAGATAAAAGCTATTGCTAGAAGTCCATCCCAAGATAAATACACAAACATTTAGATGAAATATGCACACAATTTCATGGTTTTAACCGACTCACTTTAATTCATCCATGGTCCCCTTATGTAACCCAAAGAACCCCTGCTTTAGGGGACTATATAAAAAGTGCACAGGAAAATTATTATTTTACATAGTGTTTGAGAAACAGTGAGCTACTAAAAAGGTCTAACAAAAAAGAATGAATCTGGAGTTCTTGTTCCAGTACTCTGCCTCTGTGACAGAGTTGAATTATGTAAGCATATTGTGCCTCGTTTTTCTTATGTGTCCAATATGCATGGTGACATCTGCCCTACTTTCTTCTCAAGGCTGTTGTGAGAATCAAATGAGAAAATACAGAATGGCTTTGAAAAAGTCAGAAGCTTATGCAAATGAGAAGTATTATTGAAATTACCACAATAAATAAATAGATTTCTCAAGGTCTGAATCTGTCTACCACAATAAGGAGACACACATTTTTCTCTATTTTATCACAAACAGAAATAACAGGTTAACTTTTCTGCCAAACTTTTGGTTTGGAAGAAAAATGCTCTTTTATTTTTACACTGTTTTGCTAATCCTTCAGCATTACACCAGGGTCAAATCTCAGCAATCAGTACATCAGGAATTCCAGGTGAGGGATGTGCTCTTCTCCCAGATAAC